TAACGGCACCTACACCACAACTGAAAATTATTTGAGGCTTGAGGGTAACGGCCTCAGCGGCTTAGCGTCGGGCTACACAACTTGGCCGAAGACCCCGAAATGCTTGTTGCTTTGGGTGCAAGCCCCTGCGAAAAGCTCCACCCCAAATCCCAAATACTTAAGCTTGAACAGAGGCCTTCTTGACAGGCTCATCCTTGAGAAAACTTTTGGCTTCGGCTGGGTGCGGGATTTCATGGTTGAGTGGAGCATAAATAAGCCTATGATTTCAGAAATCTGAATCTCAGATTTTGATATTGGGAATACCTAGGCCCGGTATTGCCGAAATCTGAAAGTCAGTTGGTTTCATACCGAGGCTAGCTACCTTGTTTTCCTTTGCCATACAGCACACACTGGAGTAGACCATGAGAGCGTTGATAAATACCTTGGGGGGCTTGGGATATACAGTATCATACTTGCACAGAATAAGGACAGATAGGGACTACTTGCGAGTACTCGTACCAGTTTCTCAAGTTGCTCAGACCCTCATACTAAACCCCTCGTAAGGCCATGTCAAACACGTCTGTATTTAACATCTATACCAGCCCTTACAAGCATCCTACATATTCGCTGATAAAACACGGTAAACACCTCATAAGCCCTTATGGGCCTTATTTTTTTTACAAACCCCGGGGTCGTCTCAGGTTTGGGTAAAGCCGTTCTCCTTCGCAGCGTAGCATTCAAACTTCCGGCTTCAGGACTTAAGGCTTTATGACTACACATAGGGTTTAGGAGTGCAGAGATTTCGGGTTCCGGGCTGCAGGGTTTAAGATTTAGGGCGTTCAGGCCTAGGCTGCAGGCCGAAACCGCAGGAAGGAAAGCCCATGCGCCGTGGTATGCAGGCAAGATGATAGATAAGAACTACTTAGATACTGACTTTCGAACATGCCATAGGCTAAGGCGTTGGGGTGGACTGCCGGTTACTTGTAACCCAGACTTGCTGAGTTCCATGACCCTTCGCATAACAGTTTTTGAGGCCAGGTTCAGATAGAAAGTTGCTGGAGGATAAGGACCCTAAAGCTGAGCGCAATTAGGATTACTGTCATAGATATCCGAAAGCAAAGCTCCCTGTAATCCTCAGAGAGGTCCTAGGCCTAAACCCCAAATCCAAATCAGCAAACCCGATTCCAAATCAGTCCCTGCTGCCTTGCAGGCAGGTGAGATTTGCGTCTGGCTCATATGATCCCGTACACGAGGAGGTGCAACTGAGCGTCACAGCTCTAAGATTCAAGACGTAACTCGAGACTACCAAACCTACTTCTTGGTAGGGGCCCCTATGAATTAGATGTTAGGGTCTATCATCGAACCTACGAGAAGCTGAGGGCTTGTGGCCATTCCAACTCTTGAAAAGTTGAGCCTGTCCTTCAAGGCCCATTGCTGTGGCAGTTTACCCTGACCGATCGAAGCGCCCTAGACTTAGGTACCTGGGACGTGGGTTTAAGATAATGAAAACAGTAGGCATAAACCCCTATTAAACCCTGAAAGAGCAAGAGGGAGCCGTGCCTAAGAAACCCCCAAGATAGTACTGGTACGCATTTAGGTCCCTGCATTAAGCCCTGTTTAGCCCTTGAAGAACAAGAAAAGGAGCCGTGCCTCGACCCCGAGGCGACCAGAAGGCCCTCGGCGCAAGGCGGCTGTGCGGCATGCTCCTGGGGTGTTTCGGTGGATTTTCTCTGCGTCGAAGTACGCAAGCATTTGGATTTTGGGAACCAAAAGTAACCCTAGGTGCCAAAACCCATTCAGAGCACAGTATCTGCACACATTGGGTTTATTTGTGAGAAAGATCTTCCGATGGTTTCGGAGAATTGTTGGTCCTGTATGTATTTTACGAGCGGCTCTTGGTTGTTCGGTATCACACACTTGAAAAACAGTTTACTGTAGGGCTTGGCAGGGGGTTTCTATAGGGTTGTTCTGAGTGCTTGTCATGAAGCTTCGCTTCTGTTGCCACAATAGGGAAACGTTGCGAAGAACCTGCCTCCTTGTTACGGTAGCTGAAACAGGCAAAGATGTTTTTTTGACAAGATCCCGAAGCCTTACAACTGGTTTCGGGCTCGGGCTTCAAGGTTTTCACTTGGAGGCTCAGGGAACTTGATAAGTAGGCTGCGGGTATGACATGATCACCGCCGGAATGCTCGCAACTAGGGTACTAAAAATCCCAAATCTTCAAGCACTTTCATTGGCTCAGGAAGCTCCAGGCTTCAGGCGAGCTACACCTCTTGACAAATTCAGATCAAGTTATGAAAATCCTGTCGACTTACATGTAGTTTCTCAACGACGGTCCGCAATCCAAGGTCCCATACGAGACTCCTGAAAACCTCAATTAGAACACTTGCAAGCGCCAATAGAACCGAACGGGGCCCTGTTAAAACCCTTAGTTGAAATCCGTACAATGCTTGATACATTCCTTGAAAGCCTCAAGCCTTAAACACTTGAAGACCTATGTAGCCCGTTTTCCAACACAACGCATGCATTGCATCTAAACGTATGGATCCCGTGGCTTTCGGATTCCACTGTGTATGTTCTTGAGTGTCACTTCAAGCCTATAAATCCCTAAACTTTGAACCCCGAAATCGAACCTTAAACATGAAATACACTCGCCCGAATAAGTTTAACCGTTTCATTAGGATAGGAGTCTAAATATGTCGAAAAAGTTATTGGCTGCATACCCAGCCCCGACCTTTCATCGTAAACTCTGCACCGAGACGCCACGCCCCATGGCGCACGACAGGGCGCCGGCTGGCAGCTGAAATGAGGTGGCGTAAGCACACCGTCCGCGCAATGCCTTTGGGCTTGGAGTTTAGGGGTTATGTTCGGAACTTAGGGTTCGGGGTTTAGGCTTGGACAATCTGGAGCACATCCATCCACAAACTAGGGTTGAGGCGTCTGTCTCGGATGTAGGTGTTGCTTGGCAAGAGGGAAAGTTAGCAAGAAGCTGTACGGGCCAGGTAATGCCCAAGCCAATTACAACACCGGTTTACCACAAGGGAATAAAATTGGCATTGTACGGGCCTCATGTTTCTTAAGGACTAGTATCACAAATAACGTGTGGCAATGACGGTTCTTAGGGCGCAGCTCTTGGTTCTTAGAGCGCAGCGTTTAAGGTCGGGTCGCAGGGTCCAGGGTTTGAGGTTCAGGCTTCCTTTTAAAGTAGCCCTTTCAAGAATGATTTGCCGTAACGAGCATCCATAAGAGGTCAGAACATATTTAGTTTGGAGGTTCAGGATACGGACCTGGAGGTAGCAATGTGGTGCAAGCGCACGTAGAGGCTCTTTAATAATCTTTAATCAGGACGACTAGCCAATTCTTCTGAGGGTGCAGTTGCAGTCACATTGACTTGGCGATCAGGCCGTTGATTGGAACCGGAAACGAATCACCCTCCAACAGTTATAGACTTCCCCCAACGGCCTTCCGACGCAGTAATCGAGATGCCCAGTTGCAGCGTCGACAAAGTAGGAACAAAGCCGGCTGCACAGACCGGAGTGCAATGGTCCACGTTTACTTCCTCTACAACAAACAGCTTGGTTAGGTTATAGCGTTGTGGGATTAGGGTCTGACATCTGTCAGTTTTGTGATTTAGGGTCTTTTGCAGACTGTAGCATTTAAGGTTTAGGCCATAATGTAGCCCGTCCTGAACCCGAACAGTCAACCACATGCTTTTGGGTTCCGCGGTTTTGGGGTTCGGGGTTGCGGCGCAAACTCGGAATATTTCTTAGCTTATGTCGTTCGCTTAAGCTAGTTTCCGTGGTCCACCAGCCCGCCGTCATCCTGCCTTCCCCGCCCCCTGATTACATCCGGACTTGAAAGTGCTGTGCCCTAGTCTCTGCAATGTCTGGAACACTGGAACCCTGCCAACCCGCCTGCCCCAAAAAAACTGCTATGCCGTCTAGACATTCAAAACCAGGTTTTTGCCGGAACCTCCATACGTCTTTGAAAACGCTATCTCAGTGAACACCGGGCAGGCCAAAACAAGCACGTCACAAAACAGGAAAAACATTTAGATCTGATGAAAACTGAAATCTCACGTGCCGTCCCAGACGTGCGGCAAGCTCAACTCACACATACTAGTGCACACTCGGTCTTTCAATTTATTTTTGGGGTTCGGGACAGAAACACGAGGGTTTTAAGGTCGAAGAGAGATCCCAAACTCGGCGGCCGAACTCAAACCAAACCAGAGCTTAGGGTTCATGATTCAGGGTTGAGGGTTCAAGGTTTAGGGTTCAGGGTTCTGGGTTTAGCGTGTGGTTTTAAGTTTTAAGCTTTCAGGACTGCGCTAGGACCCGCCCACCACCCGCTGGTGCTCCACCCGATGGCAACGGCCATACTCTCAGATTCAGTACAGGAGCAGTTTGCATGCAATGGATCACAATAGTCATGACGATCTGTAGTGGCACGTTTGATAACCATCACAGGCGCGCGCAAACTCTGGATCCGAGCTTGGCCAAGCATCCCACCTGCAGCCAGAAATGGAGGACAGGGAAGCGACTAGATAAATCAAACAAACTTCTGGATATGAAGGGACCTGTCAACTTCACAAAATACGAGAATGGGGCGATTTGAAGCGGTCCCAACCTTCCCTGCCTCACGCGCTTTGCCAGGGTGTGCTGCAAGCTTGCACCCCCAGGCTCACCGAATGAAGGAAGAAAAGCTTTGTAGCCAGCTCGCGGCGAGATAAGTGTCAGCCCGAATAAACGAAGCAACCTGTCGAATAATGTCACGAAGACCGACTGAAAGAATTGGTAGCGCGAGGCATCAAAGTAATCCTCGAAGCGCTGAGATTTCTTAGTTTTGGGGCACGCAAATCCACCCACTCGGAATTTTGAACTTTTGAACCCTAATTTATACACCCCAAACCCTAAAAGCCAAACCAATCCTTAACACACTGCCATCCCGTGGAGCCCGGTCGGGGCCCTGGCTGAGGCCGCGAAAAACTTCCACCTCTGCAATGGTTGTGGTGGCATGTAAAGTCAATGATCCATCAGCGCTTTCTCTTGCTGCTGCCAGAGCCCCCCCGTCATCGGCCCCACCAGCTGGTCACCCATCTTCAAGGCAACCTTGTTCTGGAAAACAGGAACCACCATGTCGCCAATCTTCTTCGCGGCTCTGGTGAGGGTGGCCGTCTGGGTCTCCGGTGCTTCCTCAGGTCTCGTGTTTAGGGTTTCCAGGGCTCTCATCGATAAAGGCTGACACGGGTTGTTTTGGGCCTTAGGTGTTGAATGTTTAAGGGTTCAGGTGGGTTTTTGGGTTTAGGCTTGGACATGGCCGAGTTGAAAGTGTGGACATGAACGACGGGTGCGGCGCAAACTAGCATGGTGCAAATCAGTCCACCTTGCTGTCTTGGATAACGGAAGGGATCACATGGTGGTGGCTTCTAAGAATGACTAGGACCAGGCACCCTCGGTGTCCTCCTGCACGATAGGCTTCTTGACCTTCACAAGTATCGGAATACCGGTTGTTCGGCTGCACCTTCTCAAGCATCTCTGGATTGCAACGGCTCCGACGCCCAACCCTAAACGCCTTCATCTGGCAATTTTTGCCTTATATACCACAACAAGCGATACTGATCTCACATCCCCAACCTGCCCATCGATGACCACCACGGGCTTCACGAGCTGAACCATTGTGTCCGGGTATTTGTCGGGGTAAAAGGAGGTGGAAGGAAGGGTTCATCTTAAACCCCAAACCCTAAGCCTATGGGGTTCGGGACCATTTATGGAGCTTGCTCTGAAGGCCCCAAACCCCTAAACCACTGAGCCCTAAACCGTCTTTAGGGTTTTTTAGAAACCTTGAACCACAAGGCAACCCTAAGGGTTGAATAGGGATTTTAAGGTTTTTTCGCAGCCATGGATCCCGGGATAAATTTCCGCATTTGTAGATTGGGGCTTCTTCCTAAACCGACAGGGGTAACGGAACCCAAAGGGTTAGGGTTCAGGTGGTTTTTTCTCTCCGAGAGCTAGCACACACAAGAGCTAGCAGGAAGCCGAAGGCTCCTTGAGGAGGTATAAACAAAATTAAGGATTACATAAGCCAGAGGCTCCTGCTAATGGAAAGTTATCCCCTGCAGTCCCCCTATGCCCAAAGTTCTTGTTCAGCAGATCTGTGCCGCCATGGATCCCGACATCATGCAAAGAGGAGGGTCGAAACGAAAGGCCGGTAGCAGTTCTTTGCAACTGTTGCCACCTCGAGGTGCATCGTCAGACTTTGCACACATCGGGTCATTTGGCTTGCTTTTGGGCAAGGGCCGGGCAGGCAAAGACGGTTGAGCCGGGCCACATGTCCTGGGCACGATCTGCTAAGCCGGCAGCACGGCAGGCGTCACACTGCCACTCAACCTCAGCAGCGGGACGGGATGAGGGCTTATATAGGGATACGAGTACCCGCCCTACCCCCGCGCCGTTCCCCCCTTCCCCTTCCCGGCCGCTGCTGACGGGCGTGTGACTCAGACGTCATTTACACCGCATACGTATACCAAGCATATGGCTAACATCAACGAGTCACACGCCAGCCCCGCTGACCTGTGCTCCTGGACGCCGGCACAGAGAATGTGCGCAGCCGCCTCTTCAGACTCCGGCATGGGGTTCCTGACAGGAACATCACGTGCAGCATCCACTGCCTGTGGGTTCTTTAAGCCACTTTCCTCGGCCGGCTGCACCAGGTGATCGGGGGTGAAGTGCAAGGTCGCAGCGCCCGCCTTTAAGTCGCCGTTCGTCGCGTCGCAGATCTCCGAGGTCTTGGCCACCTCCAGGATGGTGGCATCGTCTCCGGCCACGACCTGCGATCCTTTCCGCAGGTCTCTGCCCATCAAGAAAAAGTCCGTGCCGCAGCTGCGCGTCTTGAAGATGGCGTCCAGTGTGAAGCAGTGCAGCTTCACAGAGTCTGGCTTCATCGAGAACCACGACGAGTGCGTGTGCGGGCTGTCTTGCTTCTTCCTCCGAATCGTGAGCTCGTGCTCCAGCCGACGAAAGCGCTCCTTGTACATGCCGATCTCCTCTCGCAGATCAAGCTGCTGCCGGAGCTGCTCACACCTCTCCTGCAGAACTGCCTTCTGGATCTGCAGCTGGGCCTTGCGTTTCGCAAGTTCTTCACAGCGCTCCTGGTACTTGCCTTTCTCCTCCTGCAACTGCCGGAGCTTTTTCATCATCTCCACCACGGTTGATTCTGCAGCTGCAGCGCGAGATGCCAGCTCTTTGCACTGCTCTTTGCACTTGTCACTCTCAATCTGCACAGTTTGGAGCTCCATGGTCTTGAAGGAATCCGCGGCAACCAGGCGATTGGACAGCTCTCGGCCCTCCTCCTGGGACTTCTGAACCTCTGCTTGCTCGGAGGTCTCCACCAGCCTCTGCCGCTTCCCCGACTCTGCAATACCATCTCAGATGTCAAGGCCCGATGTTCCAACAATGTCAAACCGGCAACCCAAAAACAGTTTGGCAAAGAGCTACAACCAGCTACTGCCGCGGCATTTGCTAACATCGAAAGGTCAATGGCCGACTCTTGACGATGCAACACCCTCACCCGACACACGGGGCCTCAACACATCTCATCGAGACATGAGCGATGCATGGCAGGCAATGCCGCCACTCCACTGTCTTCACAAGATCCTTTGTGCTTGGCTGTCTCACAGCCCCGGGCTTTACAGATTTTTCGGCACACACTGCTGTGTTCATGGGACATACCCCTGAATTCGGCTTCAGGCTGGGTAAGCCGTTGTGTGTTGACGGGAAAGGACTGGAATTCCATTCTGTTGTCTCGCGAAACTGAAGCTGAACCTTCCTTGACCGGTTGGCTTGCTTTTGCCCAAATGACCCCAGTGTGTCGCCTATCACCTCATGCCGACAAACAACTTTGACGAGGCTGGGCCAGGTCTCTGTGCAGCTCGAGCCGAGGGACGGCCGAACAAGCATTCCCGTACTCTCGGGTTTTGCCCTGCCAGGCCCTACTCAGGTGCCCGCATCTCGTGAACGCATTGCATGCAATGATCCACGAATAGAGAACTTATTCAGAATGGACCCCCAGCGACAAGAATAAGGTTCCGCCAACTGCCTGGTTTTTATCTTCAGTTTCCGACTCTCAAGTCGCCAACCCACATTCACTATCCGAAGAAGCAGGCGGGCTAGAACGAAAGCAAACTAAACGAACGTTGATGGACAAACTGTTCCCCGCAACTCCCCCGCCCCCGGCCTCCCCCCTTCCCTCTAAATTAGGTTTACCCCAGTGTACAAGGCCATAGCGTTAAGAAGGCACTCCCATTGGCTTGGCTTTCTTGTTGTATAGAGCTTTCTGCTTGCACGAGCCTGTATTTGGGGGGTCGGGGCAGCCCCCCTTTGAGCGCCATAGGTTCCAGTACGTAGGTGTGGGCCGGGGAGACTTGTTGTTGACTGTTGATTTCATTTTGACTTGAGTTGTGACTTGTTTCTGAGTTCTCCGGCCAGTGGCAGCCTGCGTGGTTGAGTTCCACGGTGATTTATTTCTGACTTTTATTAATTATCATTTAGGCTGATTTAGTAGGAAGCAAACGACACAATTCTTAGCCCCATCAACTGAGGGCAATATGGGATTCACAGTTATGGTCTTTCGGGATAGGGACGAGATCCTACTTGTATGATGGTTACGAAGCTGCGGATTTTTCGATAAGGACGTGAACCTTACATGGCTTTGAACTTCTTATTTCAAGGCTTTGGCAGTCACGGCATGCGAAAAGATCCGACTTGAGACAACTACGGGAGCTACGTAGCCTTGCTCATGCATAATACTGATCCCTCTAGACTCTGCATGAAGTCTTAATCCTGAAACCCTAGACCCTGAAACACTGAACCCTGTAAACCGACAGTCCTCGCCCTCGGAGCATGAAGGTGAGGCCGCATTGGCGATATTTTGCCTCCGGAGGGAGGGCTGTTTCTGCTTTGGCCGGGGCCAGTGTAAGGTTTGTAGTAAGCCATTTCAGACACCGGCAGTTCTCTAAATTCGGGTCCCCCCTACTGCAGGGTCCTGTTTATAAGGGTGCGGTGCTATTTGGAAAACCTTACAGGAGACCCTGGCTATTTGGGAGACCTTGCCAAAGACCCTAACTCAGAGAGCTACCCATATATTAAGGAACCCTAAGGACTAAAAATGCTAACTTATTCAAGCTTCTACGTTACCGCCTATCATAGCCTACATACCCACGATACGGTCCTGAGGGGATGTAGTAGATCCTAAGTTCCGAAACCTCAAAAGGGTTCTACCCCGTGTGCTCGTTTAGGGATAAGTAACCGGCACCCCTATCATCTAACAGTTTGCTTGGCCTCATCTTCCCTATATGGCACCTAAACACAGAGTAATACCGTCATAGATTGGCACAGCTCCCAAAGAAGATCCGACATTCCGACCTAGATCGGAAGGGTCTGAATCACTAATTAGAAGTATGATCCTACGCCTCCTGACAGTATGTCTATCTAGAATACAGTATGACAGAATAGGTAGAATCAGAGGCCTTCAAGATTTGACGAGGCTTGCGGGGTACGTTCTGGTATAGCTATACCTAGAACCCTACGGAAGACTATTGCGGATGAAAAATGAAATCGAATTGCCCTGAGGTCGCAACGGGGCTGCGCAGGGGCCAATCTCCAGGTGGTACCGGTAAATGACCTTCGCCCAATGATATCATGAAGGTCTTTACGGCCTACAGGGTTTATAGGGCTTCCAGGGGTTAGAGTGCTCAGGGTTTAGAGTTGAGGGGAATATGCTGTTTGCTCATGGGGAAGAATGCGCCGCTGTAAATAACCCCTAAATCTTGAATAGACCGGTAAAGGATTAGCTGGAGAACCGGATAAACAGTCCAGTGCAGGGTTCTCCAGATAAGTAGGATAACAAGGAGACCTTTGCATCTTGGAAGCAGAGCAGCTGTTTATCATGATTGCTGCTATTAAATGCTATTATCTGCTATTGCGTCCGTAACGAAAACTGCGGTACTGCCACAAACCACCAGCCGTTTGAAAGAGCCCT